GTTACTTTATTAGGTGCAACAACAATTAATCCAACAAAATTCATGCCACATGGCTTTTTCCATCGTCATATATCCTACCCCTTTCCTCCCTCCCTTTGCACTATTTTTTTTTTATCTACAAAATCTAAGATTCAACACAGTGAGGTAAGTTGTGCACAATTAAAGATTAAGAATGAAGAGGCTATGGCTCATTACAAAAAATGCAAGCATTTCACGAAAGAGGTTGTCTCTGCTTATGATGCCTTCGTAATTATGCACACCTCCTATGCCACCTACTTTAAGAACATTGGCACAACCTTGAGCGATTTCGTTTACGATAAGGTTTGAAATCCTCAAAATGACTTTTGGCACTGTTGCAAAAAAGTGAGCAATTTAACTTACTATTAGGTCAAAATGATATTTTTTCACACAATATTTATGTGATGACCAATCAACCTTTGTAGAATTTCTCTTGGAATTATTTTTTGTCTAGGTCAGCAAAAAATGGTCAATTTTTGTTTATATGTTAGTTAAATGGTTAATATTTGAGGGATTTAATGGATTAGTCACTATTTTACCTAATAAAGTAACATTATCGGTATTCCTGTCCGTTTTCTCACTTTAAAACATGTTTAAGACCAAACAAGTGGTGGTATTTTTCCATAACTGTGAAAAATGTGCGTGATTGTGCAGCTAACAACTCAATAGAGGTGAAGAATTTGTGTAGCATGGCATTTTTTTAGATAATAGTGATAATAAACTTATCTCGAATAGTGAAAAATGTACGTGATTGTGCAACTGACAATGCAATATAGGTGAAGAATTTGTCTAGTATTGTATTTGCGTTAGATACTAATGATGATAAACTTATATCGAACATAGTGAAATATGTGAAGATGAAGAAATGAACATTATATGTTGGAATGTGAACATGCCGGGTTTGTTTATGTTGTGTTTTCAATTAAGTGTCTTCATAAATTCATCTATTAGTGCCCTTTGTGATATGTTTTCTTGACTATTTTCAGGTATGTGACTAAGGGACATGACAAGGTTATAGCTGCATTTTATATTGAATCACGTGATCCAACTACTAAGAGAATCCATGATGATAAACATAAATCTTAGATTTTCTTAACAATATCTATAATTTCTTCACATTTTAAAGATAGGGCTATCTTAGCCCTTACGTTGTTTATGTTGTATGTGTGTCAAAAGTTCCACATTGACTAAATGAATGAGTCTCCAAGTGTATAAAAACTAAGGAATGAAGTGGGTTAGTAAAATGGGCTTGGAGGAGAAGTGGGCTCGCACACATGAGACAGGCCAACTTAGGACAATCGCAATTGAAATCAGTCTATTCACCCCTTGTGCGAGAGTGCAAGAGGCAATGGGTTCCTTTTACTAGATTATTTTTACAAAATAATTATTTAGCTTACCCATAAAACCTCAAATTTTGTTGTTTAAACTTGAATTTGAAGCCTTAGCAGTTTTTTTAACATTAAACCACTTCTGAAAACTGATTTTGTGAGTTAATGTCTTAAACGCTTTTGTTTGCCAGCATTTCCAGATTAATGGTGTTTAAACGTGATTTATGATAGTGTAACCGAAGCCTTAATCCGGTGATTATGAGCCAACGTTCATGTCTCTATCTTTGGGCTATATATAGCTATGGGTGCAGAAAAAGAAAACCAGTAGCCTTTTGAGTTTTTGAGGCAATTTTCTCCTCCCTCTGCCTTCGGTTGTCTTGTTCATTTGAGTTCGTTTTAGTTTCTGCTGTTTTAGTTCCTTGCTCCGCAGGAAGCGCTTGTTTAATCCTGGAGACCTGTCGGTTCGTCATCCCAGTGTGTCGGAATAGTTTTTAAAGGCAGTGTCCTTCCAGACACGACTTAAGCAACTCATCGTTCACGTCTATATCACTGATACCGCCAACAATTTATGGTTGAAGACATAAATAGTTACATGTTGTCCTTGCTTCCTTAAGAGTAAGTTCTATACTTGAGTTTAGATAGTGTTGTGAAAGATAATAGGAACTTGAATTCACTTAATGACTTGCACTTGTAGATTTTCTAAATTCAATTACAATGACAGCCCTCCCAAATTATGAAATAAGGCTGAAAGTTGATGTATGAGGTTATGCAATAGTATAGTTTCATAGTTATACAAACTAGAAAACATCTTATTGAGGCCTAAGAATGTTTGGGTCAACTGCAAGGATGGAAGTATATGCACGACATATTGCTATAAGTGCATCTGATTCCAAGTTACCATTTACTTTGAGGAGTCAGTTTCTTATTATGTTAACCTTTACAATAATCATTAATAAGAGTTAGAGCTAAAGCCTGTGCCATGTCGATTTGTACCCGCCTCATCCTGTTGTCATCCATGACCAATTATACATTGTTGTTTCTTGTATTTGAAGCAAGAAGGGTATAAAAATATTGCTTCTTAAGGAGAATGATCGACCTATGGATGGAATCTCTAATATTATTTATAAAAAAGTTTTCAATAATTTGATATAATTAATTATGAATTTTGTTTCACTTGCTTCCCATCTTATCTATTCACATTGTATGTATTTGGTTTTTACCAACTATTTGCTTAACCCTAATATGCATATTTAATATTAAAGATAATAATTACACAGCCCTACTGTGTATAGGGTCATATGGAGAAGGTGTTTGCAACAAGTTTTTTTTTTTGGAAAAAATTTTCCTGCAAAATTAATATTAATACTTATTTATAAAAACTGTAATATAAGAGCCGCATGGGTATTTTACTAATTTATTTTAAGACTTATAGGCCCTTACAGATTATTTCGTTCAGCAACTGACTTCAGATAAATACTCTTTAAATATATCTCCACATAATTCAAATTAAACAATTTTTTTTTGGCATACAACACGCACAATTTAATAATTGACTATGGGTGTATGCGTATTGATATTTCAATGATAATTATTTGTACAGATATATTAATTTCTAAATTTTTTCAGGGTTTGAATCTTGACTTTTACATGTATGGCTGTATCCTATCTTATTCTCATTACTTCAACAGAATATAGAATATTTAAAAATTTAAAAAAGTAGTTTAATATTTTTAATTCCATTATACCAACAGTAACAAGTAAGACATCCTTGAATAGGGCTCCTGTTACTTCTTCCGTTATCAATTATCATCCAGGATTTAAGTTTCTATTTTAACTTGTTTAGGGGTGTGAAGCTTATGTCTGTGCAGGTTTGACTGAACTGTTTTTTTTTTTTTGGGTTATTTTTGGTTGTTGTATACTCCCATAAAAACAATTAAGATGTAACCAAAAAAATAATACTCCCTCCTTTTCGTTTTATAAGAAACTTTTCTTTTACAAATTAAGAATAGCAGTAAACTAATTAAAGGTAGTCTAATATTTTAAGTTCTTAAAAACTATATATGGTGGTGTGAGAAATTCTTGAATAGATCTAGTATACTGTGGCATTCATGGTCCATCTAATAAAATTATACTATTTAATCAAATAAATCTTACTTGTCATTATTTTTAATGGCTTTATTTCATAATAGAATGCTTATTTAATTTTTTTGCATCTTCTTTTTCTACCATAATTAATGTTAGAATTAATTTATGTTTAATATTATCTGAATGTCATATTTTTATTGAATGGACCATGAATGATATAATGTTCTAGATCCATCCATAAATTTATCATGATAGTTTATAATTCTTAAAAATTACTCTCCTTGTTAAAAAATGTAAAACATTTTTAACCAAATCTCACCCCAATAAAGTAATTACCTACTTTTAAACTAACCATATCTTTTCATATTTACCTCTATCAAACACCCTACAATAAATATAAAGTTATTATCAATAGCGGAATTTAAAAAAAAGCAATTATTACATTTCAAAAGATAAAAAATATCTTATATTTTTAAACATTTAACTCCTAAAAAATACCTTACATTTTTGAATGGAGGGAGTATAAACTTTTAAAATACAATTCATTTATTACAATCCAAATTCATAGTTAATTATTACAAATTTTATTAATGAAAAGTAATTTTAAACAAATAATTTTTTATTAATGAATGAATTGTTAATCTCAAAACATCTTACACTATAAAATATCAATCAAAACACAATAAAAAATACTTGATAAAATGAAACAGATAGTGTAACAATTAAGTGCTTGTTTGAATTTCAATTTATATCTATTACAAGTATATTTGAAGAATTCAACTATTTATTAAATTTGATAAAAGTGTATTTTAAATATAATTTCAATATATTTTTGAGAGTTACTCAAACATGCTTTGAGATGTTACTAAGATGTTTTTTACATTTACTTCAATTCTCTATTTCTCTTCTCTCATTTGTTTTATTTAGATTAGATTGTTCGAATCTATAAATGTATCATTCTCTCTCTACTCGTTTTTTTTTTTTGGGCCAACCATTCTCTTTTCACTAAAAGTATATATATTTATACAATGGGCCAAAAAAATATTTTCACTTGAAAATATAAAAAAAATTATATTCAAGTTTCACATAATAAAATTTATTATTTAAAGATTCATAAAATTAAAGTTTTAAATTCTGTATATTTATAATTTGATAAAGAACACTTATAATTGAGCGACATACATTTACAAATTATTATTATAAATTATCATTTTTTTATGCAAGTTGTAAATTCTTGTTATTCAATTATAAGTGCTTTTTGCTAAATTATAAATATATAGAATTTAATATTTGAGAGTGTCTTATGAATTTCATAAAATTTTTGATAATAAATTATTTTTATGAGACTTGGGTATAATTTTCTCAAAATATAATGAATAATCTCGCTGATATTTCCTTATGATTCTGTCGATTTTGTAAATTCTTCATCTCTCTCTTTAATAATTAATAAAATAAAATACATTGATTTGGAAATTGGAAAATGCCAGTTCTGTGAAATGGACTAGGTATCTGTAAAATGCAGTGGGGGAAAAATGCCTAAAAAACAAAAAGGAGTGTGGATTTTCTTGGGAAGTGACATGGACACATGGCTGCTGCAGAGAAGCAAGTCCCTGGTTGAATTGTATCAAAATCCTTCGACGATGTCGATTACAGATTAACGTGTCCGATAAGTTCTCTCGTCGATCTGCCCTTTTAGTCTTAGATACTCCTCCGCTCTTGGGTGTTACTCCTCAGACCCTGAAATCTCAATCCTTCACGGAGCAGGGAAGCCATTTCCTTTGGTCGACATCTTGACATTTCTGATCAAAAGGGACTCTTAAGCACTTAAATTATCCAAATATATAACATGATTTGATTTTTAATTTCTTTTTCTTCTTTTTGCTTCGCTGGAAAAATAATACCAGGGGGTTAGTATCTATTTAATCCTGCGGAAAAGATTTGTGGGAGAAGAGTGCGACAAAGCTAGATGAGGGAGAAGCTGAGGGTTTTGTTGGGTGTTTGGATATTTTTGTGTGGGTGTTGTGTGGGTAGGTTTGTGGTGGAGAAGAACAACTTAAAAGTCACTTCTCCTAAATCCTTGAGGGGCGTGTATGAGTGTGCGATTGGGAACTTTGGAGTCCCCAAGTATGGAGGAGCCATGATAGGCTCTGTGGTATACCCTAACACGAATCAAAGGGGATGCAAGATCTTTGATGATGTTACTTTGTTTAAGTCAAAGCCCGGGAGCTTTCCTGTCATTCTTCTTGTGGATCGGGGAGGTGAGCTCTTTATTTTATACCTATCCGTCTGTTGTATTAATCCTTCAAGTGAGATTTTCGTATAACGTGTGGGTTTTCATTTGTGGTTGTTTAAGTGCATGCCTTTTGGGTGGTGAATTTGTGGTTGTCATCCTTCTTCTATTGAATTTGTGTGCCAAGCTCCATTCTGTCTTTTGCTAGTGTATATATGAGATCTGTTCTCCGTTGAATTGTTTTTTATCATGCAGATTGACATAGAAAGTTAGGGTAAGTTGTTCAGCCAGTGGAATCTGTGTCTTAAAGGGAAGTTGCTAAGTTGGGATATTCTGGTTTTTTCTAAGTGCAAACCGAAACCTTAGTAGCTTTTAAGTATACGATGCATCAAGTTTGCTGCAAGTTATTATCTAAACGTAATTCAGAATTTTTATTTTCGAGTTCCTGACAGCTTTGTTTTCTTTCAAGAACAGATTGCCATTGTTTAACTAAAGTAAAATCATAGTCATTCTTTTTTTCCAAGAGTTCGCCACCTAATTTATCATCATGCTGTTTGTGGCTGCCTAAATTGTATTCAATAATTAAAAGTTCCTTTGTTGAATGTTGCCTCTATTATTCTATCCACACACAGGCTGAATAATTTATCCAAGAAGAAAAACTCAAAACGGTCGTCTTTCCTTTGTTTTGTTTTTGTTTTTTTCCCTTTCCTTTTTCCCATTCTGGTAGATTGCTACTTCACTTTGAAGGCATGGAATGCACAGAATGGTGGAGCAGCAGCTATTCTTGTTGCAGATGACAGACCAGAACCATTGATCACCATGGATACCCCTGAAGAAGGGTCTGTGGCAAATGATGAATATGTGCAGAAGATTAGTATTCCTTCTGCCCTTGTCAGCAAATCATTGGGGGATAGCATCAAGAAGGCTTTGTCAAGTGGAGAGATGGTTACCATAAATCTTGATTGGAGCGAGACACTTCCACATCCTGATGAGAGAGTTGAGTATGAGTACTGGACAAATAGCAATGATGAGTGTGGACCAAAGTGTGACAGTCAAATTAATTTTGCCAAGAACTTCAAAGGGGTAGCTCAATTACTTGAACAGAAAGGGTTCACTCAGTTTACTCCCCACTACATAACTTGGTATTGCCCTGAGGCATTTATCTTGAGCAAACAGTGCAAGTCTCAGTGCATAAACCATGGGAGATATTGTGCTCCAGATCCGGAGCAAGATTTCAGTAAAGGATATGATGGTAAAGATGTTGTTGTTCAAAACCTACGCCAAGCATGCTTCTTTAAAGTAGCAAATGAAAGTGGAAAACCTTGGCAATGGTGGGACTATGTGACAGACTTTGCAATCCGCTGCCCAATGAAAGAGAATAAGTACACTGAAGAATGCTCTGATCAAGTTATCAAATCTCTTGGTATGTTGGACGCGTGTCTTTTGCATTAACTTTCCAATAGGCTTTATTTATTTATTTTTGGGGTTGGGTTGTTTTTTTTGGTCTGCCTAAAATTTATTATTGTTAGCGGAAAAACGTGAATGTTAACTACTTTTACTTTCATGTATAAATTGGTGTGTTGTCGATTTGATATCACTGGGCCTCATTTCTAGTTCAAATGCTAAAGCTTTGATTTAAGTGCAGAACAAGCCCAAATTTGTATCTGTACTGATAGAAACATCTTCATTATTCTCAGATCCAGCATATGAATAATGTAGCTTGCTATAATCCTTTTCTTCTTGCATGAAATCAATAAATGTGCCCCTTGTTGTTCTGGCTAAATGGTTTATTACTTAATTGTATCATTCAAAGCTGAGATACCTACTTTGCAGGGGTAGATCTAAAAAAGATTAAAGAATGTGTTGGAGATCCTAATGCGGATGTTGAAAACCCGGTTCTTAAATCTGAACAGGATGCACAGGTTGGTAATTTTTAAATGCAAACTTTTCTATGGTTCTCTTGTTGGCATATTCTCATAACTAGGCCATTCATTTCTACTGTTAATACTTGCATATTCTCCCACTTCTGTTTTCAGATTGGCAAAGGCTCTCGGGGTGATGTTACTATATTGCCTACTCTTGTCATAAACAACAGACAGTATAGAGGTTTGAGCCAGCTTTCCCTACACTTATGCATGTATATATGTTTAAGGCTATTTGATGAAATTCTATCATGTAATTTTTTGCTGTTAACCGCTTTTAGGTAAGCTGGAAAAAGGAGCTGTTCTCAAGGCAATCTGTGCAGGTTTCCAAGAGACCACTGAACCAGCTATTTGCCTAACTCCAGGTCCTCTTCATTTCTTTCAGGGTTCTACTTTTCTCCCATAGCCTTACTTACAAAACATACTAGGAGATGAAACAGTAAATCATTTTTGTCTCTGCAGTCGCAGTTGTTTAACTTTTATTGTCTGATTGCTTCAAAAATCTCAATTATTGGTTTGCATTAACAAGCAGCCCTTGGCTTACCCTTGGCTTAGACTGTAATGAGTAATAGCATGTGTTGCATGATTCTACTTCAATGGGCAAAGTCTTAGTACTAGAAACTTTTTATTTTGGTCCTTTTGAGAACAACAACAATAACAACAAGAAGTCTTATCCCACTTGGTGGGGTTGGCTATATGGATTGCATTATGCCATTGTGCTCTATCATTTACCAAGCTTTTATAAATGTTGTTAACTAAGAAGTCTTGATCAACAAATTCCATTAGTGTTTTCTTTGGCATTTCTTTACCCTTTTTAATAGAACTCAAAATTATTTGTTATACTTTCCTTACTGGCACCTCCCATGGCCTTCTTTGTACATGTGCAAACTATCTTAAACGAATTTTTATTATTTTTTCCTAGATGCTACACTCACTTTTTTTTTATATATATATGCTCATTTCGGATTTTATCTTTACATGTATGCCTACACATTTATTTTAACATTCTCATCCCTAATACTCCAACTTTCTACTCTTGCTGCCCCGTTAAAGCCCAACATTTACTACCCTATAGCATAGCTAGTTTTGTAACAATTTAATAAAGTTTTCCTTTAAACTTATTAAGTACCTTTCAATGGCAAATAACTCCACCTATGTTTATAACCAATCTCAAGCCTAGGTACAGGACAAGGGTTGTGTTAGACCTACAACAACCAACATAAAATTTTGTTGAATCTCATATGGATTTGGTCCTTTTGAGAAATTGAAAAACCCCAATGGAATGAAGAAAGAACAAGGCATTGATCAATGTGTCTTTAGAACGTAAAATAGAAAGGTAAAGCATAACATTATATGGGTTTTCATTTTAAGATCTTGTGAATAATAATTGTATAAATTTCATAAAATTTATGGGCTATTTATAAAATTAGCATTGTGATGTTGTTGGTGGAAAATTTGCACGTGAAATAATGACTGACTTAAATTGAAATTTAACCTTACTGAGTAACTAATGATTTTGTTGACTATTCTTTGCAGATATGGAAACAAATGAATGTATGGAAAACAATGGTGGTTGCTGGCAGGACAAATCTACTAACATCACTGCATGCAGGGTATTTGGCTGGCTAAGCAAACATTCTAAGGATCATGTTTCAGAAAGAGATTCTATTTACCTTTTATTTTGTATTGGGTTTGGGTCTTCTAAATTTAATCATCTGTCTTTTTTTAATAGGATACTTTCCGAGGAAGAGTGTGTGAATGCCCTATTGTTCAAAATGTCAAGTTTGTTGGTGATGGATATACACACTGTGAAGGTAAATTGTTTTAAGTTTGAATTTAGACAGCCAGCTTTGTGCTCCTTACGAAATATGAAGTAAAAAAGAGACATTTGCAGGTACTGAATTTTCCTAGTTATAATCATGTGCTGATTATTGAAATGGTACCTTAGCCCTTATTTGAATATTGATAATATTGTGATCAATATGGATGATGCAATATGATGGTTCAAATTAAGCCTTCACTATGCTGAGAATACAGAAAGGGCTGAAAATTAAAGCCCAATACATGATTTCTCTCCTATCTTTTTGTTCCTATTTCATGGACAAGTCAAAGTTTTTAACAGCCTCAGGAAGCTTGCGCTGTGAAATCAACAATGGAGGTTGTTGGAAGGAAACCCGAGGTGGTAGAATGTACTCTGCTTGTGTCGTAAGTGGTTCTATGCTTGTTGGCTCTTGTGTTGTGCGTGCTCTTGCTTATGATGTTTTCTTCTTTTATAAAGAATGTTTGGGGTACAGGGAGTGAGAATGATGTTAGATATTAGGGGCTTGTTTGACATCTTGTTCTGGGAACAATTTTTTTTGTTATTCAGAACAAAAAAACAAAAAAAATCTATTTTGGGAACATGTTTCTAGAAAGTGTTTTGGAGGGAAAAAAAAAGAACCAAATATTATTCCGGAGAATAGAAAACGGAAACATCTTTTTGGTGTTCTGAGATTATTGCTCTGGAGAATAAGGGAGAATATAAAAAAAATCTATTTTCATTATTTTTTGCAAACACCAATTCTCAGAATACTAAAACAAAAACAATTTCAGACAAATCCTAATTGTCCCCTGTTTTCTTGTCCATTACTTGACTATGTAGGATGAGCATACCAAAGGTTGCAAATGTCCGCCTGGATTCAAGGGTGATGGAGTCCGCTCTTGTGAAGGTAATTATTGTGTTGTTCGGTATCCTGAATAGCACATAAGGGTGAATTATTTTGCTTGTGGATTACTGCAGAATGCTTGAATATGCCCCCTCGTGTAGTATGAGTAATTCATGATGCTATTAGCTACCCTCTGATATTGATTGTTCTATGTTTATCGTACTGACAATTTTCCAGATGTGGATGAGTGCAAAGAGAAGTTGGCCTGCCAGTGCCCAAAGTGCAAATGCAAAAATACCTGGGGGAGTTATGAATGCAGCTGCAGTGGCAACTTGGTACATATGCAAGAAAGTGACACATGTATTGGTGAGGCTTTTTAAAGTTCAACTATCTCAATCTTGCTAGTTTCATAACGGTGCTTTGCTGAATGGTTTAGCTCTTCAGTACAATCATCTAATAGACAACATTATGGAAAATGCAACTTTGCATGACCAAATAAAAACACCCTGATATATTCTTTTTCTGTATGGTAAGTGTCAAGTTTACCGAGAAAGAAGCTCACCGGGTTTAAACCTGAATTTTAAACTGGTATACAAGACTCTAGTTCATTTCTATTTTTATTCCAAACTTAAGGACTGGTATCTTGGTTGTTTTACAGATACTACATGCATAGCTATTGAGATTTTTATTTGTATAATATATACATATGATATGATATACTTTTTTCATTTTCAACATTTTATTTATTTTGCATTCTTTCTATCTTATGATAACAGCTAAATATAGCTCTTCAATGACCACTGGGGGTTTTATTTGGATGATGATTTTCATCTTGGCTGCTGTTAGTGCTGGGGGATATGCGTTTTACAAGTACAGGGTCCAGGTATGAATCAAGCTTCATTGTTTTGTGCTTTAAAAGCAGGCTTTTATTTTGAAAAGACGAAGTTAAGTGCAATTATTCAGATTTTGGCTATCAAGTTTGATGCAAACATGACATGGAAATACTTTTTGTAACTCGGTATCACTTTGTTGCTTCTACCAGAAAAGATTCTCTAGTTGTTATTATTTTTAATCCATGAACTCGATAGTGAATAAATGAGTAGATTAAGCAAGCTTTGTCCTTAAATTAATAAATCCTCAAGTCAGTCATAGAATGTTAGATGCCAGATATTTTGTAGCAGAAGAATGCGCTCTTTTGAGAGGGTGGGGTTGCTCAGACTCATATAGTTGATAATTTGAGCACAAGATTTATTTATTTATACATATTTTCCGTCTTCTGTTTAGAGTCTTATATGAACATATCTTCCTTTACACATTGACATGGAAAATAATTTTTTTTTGCAGAGCTATATGGATTCCGAGATAAGGGCAATTATGGCCCAATACATGCCCTTGGATAATGAAGCAGAGGTCTCCAGCAATCAACTTCATCATGACATCTAGATGATAGCTGGATATCAAGTATGTATTCTGGGAAATCCTCTACGGGTGTTTAGTTAAATACTAGTTGGGTGATCAGGCTGTATAACTCGAGCCTCCTTGCACAAAAATAATCTGATTTGTTACTTCTGTTATTGGCCTTGTCAATTTTAATCTAAATTTCTTGTCCTTGTAGTTCTGTGTTCTGAGTTTTGCAGAAGCTCCAAGTATAACATAAAAGGTTCACTCAACCCGTTACTATTAGTATTATCTTTTATATTTTTATAACAAGCGCTTACTTGATGAGGTACAGCTTAGTTTTGAATTAGCATGGTAAATATAAGAAGTAACTGCGTGAGAGCATTTTCTAAAGAATCATTTAGAAGAAAAATTAAATGTATGTAAAATGAAAGAGGACAACAATCTTGACATTTACCAACCTGTAAGCTGAATGATAATCCCACCCCAAAATCAAATTACTTAAGATACTGATGGGTCTGATTCTGTAGATTACGTAAGATAAGTAACTTGTGGAAGACTCGTCAAAAGCGGTGAATGGAGTTCAGATAATTTCGTGGTAGCAAATTATGTGGTCCGTGGGAAATCCTCCAGTGAGCGTGTAAGCCTTTTTCTGTTCATGATTTTCTACCAGTAATTAATTTAATCTATAACCCTTCTTGCTTTATGCCGTTGGGGCTACTTGCATCCAATTTTCACTTCCTTATCTTGAACAAATGTATAACTCATGTGATTGCAAATAAGATACGAATATGTTTTGGTAAAGTAGAAATAAGAATGAAATAGATATGACAGTGATTGGCTATATTGTCCTTAATACTATATTGCAAATAAGCGGACATTTCTTTTCATGTGCAAGACTCTACGCGCTTTATTCCGTAACTAATGGAAGGGCCCGTGCAATTTAAGGTACTTTAAATAAAGAATTATAAAAGGAAGAACCGTTTATAAGATGAGAAATAATGTAATGGATGTATTATGTAGAGCTTTTAAAAAGATCAATTTACTATGATAGGTTAAATAAGCTAAAAATAAAATAATGTATGGGTGGGTGCTTTGCGTGAGATTCATTCTTGAATATGTTTAATAATTTTTAATGATCAACATACATGTAGTTTAATGAAGTGAAATTGAAGCTTTATGATTTTTTTTTAATTTTATGGATGTTACCTTTTTTTTTTTGAGTTGATTGAACGGCTTAATCATGGATTTTATATGATTTGATTATATTTATGTTTTGTGATGAAACATTGTCAAGAAAAATACTTTATACTTGCATGGTTTGGCTGAGAAGAAAAGAATATAAAGGAATGACATATTCATAATTCTTATTAAAAACAAACAAAATTTCATGGACAATAAAGAACAGTTTGACGTGTTGTTTGCGGGCATGCTTAAATGTAACACAAATTCACCACTTGTTTTTATACCTTCAACGTTCACTTTTAAAGCTTGTAATATGAGCCAGTTTATAAATTGTGAGCTTGTTGGGGTGAGCTGTCATAACTTGCATCCTAAGGTTGTACTTCTACCGGCTTGCCGGTAAAATATAATTTTTTTTATAATTTTTTCAATTTTAAAAATTACATATTCAGCTATTTTTATTATTTTTTCAGAAAAAAATTATATTTTTCTCTAAAAACTAATTATTCATGTAATAATAAAAGTTTGCAATTGGAGCTATCAGGGTTCATCAAAACAACATGCAACAAATGTTTCTTGAGATACTTCAGACTTTGTGCAGATCACATAACTAGCAAATTAGTTAGATGTAATTTAACACGTCAATATTTATCTATTTTATAATTAAAATATGCATAATAATTTAATCCAATTTTGTTAAAAAATTAAATTTTATGTTTTAAACCATGACATTTTAGAATTAAACAATGTCTAGTGTTCCATAAATGCTTTAATTTTTTCAATTTGTTAACTCATAGTATACGTTAGAAAGAATTTTGAATATAAAAATGTAAAAAGTATTAATATTCTATTATTGTCTAGTTTCATTGATTGTTAATTTCATTATTTTTTTATACAATCTAATAATATTATTATTTACTGTAACAAAAAAATAATTGATTACATTGACACTTAGAAGTAATAAATGATGTGACTCATTTATTAATTTACTTTCAATTCATGGGAGGTATATTAATTTTTTAGTATATTGTATGAAGTTGAAAACCAATTGGGTTAATAAGTAAATCGGACTTTGAATTCTTGTTCAAAAATCACTTTGGACCCTGAACTTTAAAATATGCAAAATAAACTCTAAATTTTTAAATTTGTAGCGAAATAAACCTTGACCATTAACTTTTTTAACACCGTTACTGTCTACATGGGTACTGTAACAGTTAGGGCTAAATTTGTAGGAAAATAAACTCTAAATAGTACCTGCATGAATAGTAATAATGTTAAAAAGTTAATTGTAAGGGCTTATTTTGCTATGAATTTAAAAGTTTATGATTTATTTTATATATTTTAAGAGTTCAAGATCCATGATGATTTTCGAGCAATAATTTAGAGTCCCATTTGCTCATTAACTCAAACCAATTTTAAGATCTGTTCTAGTAATGTTATTTTTATAGCTCTTTTAAAATTTTATTTTTTAACTCACTCACTTACTTATAAGCTTTGAGCTTGAAATAATTCAATGAAACCACTTTTAAAATTTACATGAGAAGTCAAGAGTTACTTTCAACTAAGCAAGTAAGGGTTTGTCTTCTCAACTTATTTTCTATCTCTCTTCTTTTTTTTAAAAAAAAGTGGGCTAACCTATCAATCTGAGAGTTAGCCTACTGTAAGTCTAAGTTATACGAGGGTAGACTAAAACTACTCCATATCTAAAATTCTAAATGAACTTGTTTCTTCAACCAAACCTGCAACTCAACCCATATTACTAACTCCATCCACTTCAACACCAATTTCAATTAGTTTCTTGCTGCATGGGGGTATTGGGAGCTTTTTTTCCTTCTTGTATTATGGCTAACACTTCCTTCACACTTTCCTAGCTTTGTCCTTCTATTAGTTTTGGGGGTAAGTTCCTCAAAAGCCATTATACTTTTTAATCTCTATTATACATGTTTTCTCTAAGTGCAAATCCCACTGCCAATTTCTTCAAACTCAAAGTCCTCATCATGAGTCTACAAATTTTTGTGATAAATTGAAGATATCAATTGTGCTAGAACTAATACAATGATTGGTAAAAATTCTCAAAATTTAAGAAACTAGGAAGATTAACTTCCTAGAACTAATATAAAATGACAAACTCAATATGAAAAGATTAGGCAGTTAATGGTATACTTGCATAAATTCAATATATTAAATCTACATAGATACAAACGTACAGTTTGTAACCCTATAATTTACACTAATTTTTTACAAATTATATAATTTTACAATGAACTTTATCCATTAAATACATACCATGGTAGAAAAGAATTTGTTATGGTAATAAAGAGTAAAATTTACTTTTCAAAACATTGTCATAGTAAATAAAGGTTTATCATGGTAGAAAAGTATCTACCATGATATAAAAGATTAAGCATGGTAAAATAGGCTTACCATGGTAAATAAAAAAGTAAATAACTCAAATAAATAACTACTGATGGAAACTAAGTTAAATAAAGTGTATTTCATAGGATCCTATTGACAATAAGTATTTAAATTCAATAAAATGATAAAAAAATGTAATTAAAAGTGAAGAATGGTCCCTAAGAGACTAACTCGTACAAAAATAAGTTTATTAAGGGCAAAATAGTTCAAAGGGACTATTCTAAAAAAATTTATGTCATATGCCGTGACATACGTGTCATATGTTGTGAGAGGAAAATCCACCCTCATTGATGTGTGCCATGGTATATGCAACATATGCTACAACACAGTGCTACATTGGTAAAATGACAGTGTGAGTAGTGACAACAAACTTTAAATGGGCATAACTTTATTTACAAGTATTCAAATTGAGTGATTTAAGTAAATACATGAAACTTATAACATAATTTAACTATTGGTTATGGTTTTTGTGCCAAAATACCCTCAAATGTCAATTTTATCCACAAAAACCCATTAGTAGTTACAAAACACATTTTCCAAACAATTTACCTCACCAAACCAAAACCAAAGCCAACACAACATTAATACTATGCTTAGCAAGAGAAAAAAGTGAGGGGGAGAGAAAAGTAGGAGGGAAAAGTGGGGGAAGGGGAATAGCATTTTCCCTGACTTGGTTATGAAGAGAAAAGTGAAGGTGAGAAAAAACTAGGAAGAAAATAACATGTTAAACTCATATTTTCACTTCCAACTTTTCTCTCCAAATATGGGGAGATTTTTTAGAGCAAATTTCATTTTCAAATTTATCTACCAATTTTTCATTGCCGCCTCTTGCTTTCCTCCATTTTTATCATGATATTTGTAGTATAATTATATTTTGATCATGGACCTTTGTTAAACAAGTAGTATATTTAATTTTTAGATTAATTAGACAAATGTTAATTCTAATTTTTTAGGTTAATTTTCAGTTAAGTACCTTATATTTGATTGTAGTTTTAAATTTTAAGATTATTATATATTTAATAATTTAAGGAATAAAATTTTAAACTAGATAACACAATTTTTAATTATGTTTTTGTTCAATCAATGATATATGATAGAAATTATTATATATAACATGTTAAAATATTAAATTTTATTGTATAAATATTTTTATAAATAATAAGGTTATTATTATCCATATAAAATTAATAACTTTTTTCTCATTCATGTTTTCTCTTGTTCAACTAAGCATAATAAGAGAAAATTGCATCCGTCAACTTTTCTTTTCTCTTCATTTTTTCTCTTTCTATTTTCTTTCCTTCCTATTTTTCCCTGTAAGCCAAGCACAACATAGGGTGTGGACCATTTGACCACATCCCAAATGCATAACATGACTTGAGTAGATCATCATAACAATCATATGTACTTAATTTTACCAATTAGGTTACAGCCACATAACACAATTATAATGAAAACTCAACATAATTTGTCATAGCATATTTTCATACTCTAAACATAATATTCATATCAAAATTAGATCATGAGTGTTAAAAGCATGTCTCATGGTTACCATATACAAGTTTAATCCAAAAACGCTAAGTCCCAAGCTCAATACACAAAAGTATGCCCTCTCATTGGCAAAATATATATAACCAAACAAAGTTAGGCCTAACACTACTAATTGGTATCCACACACCAACACAATGCACTTGTCCTTGAAAAATTGTTAACAACAAGAAATGAGATACAAAGGTCCCAATAACCAATACTAATATGTCAAAATGTATGTCATATAACTAATCATGTGATTACTAAATGGGCATACAAAACACGTTTACAAACCATTTAAATGCAAGCATACTAAACAATGATGCATAACTACACTTTATCTCTTCCTTACTTCCTGAACCAATGTCCATGCTTGGTGCCTAACCTACCTAGCCAAGGTTAGCTAGTCCAAGCTACGTAAGCCACTCATTGTGTCTAAATGAGGGTGTATCATGTGGCACAAATTCAATTCTCATTTATAGCTACCGTTTTAACAAAATCCATACGTAGCATGCATATAGAATTTCTAAGCAAATGCAATTGCTATGAATTAGCATACTTCTACTAAAATCTTAATTTCATTCCAAACATATTTATATATAATTTTACATCCCACTAGCAATATATTTTTTGCCCAAACAACAATTATACATTTTTCTAACGTGTTTACAATATTTTCAAACAATTATAATTCTAAACAATTCATTCATACTTTCAAACAAGAACTTAGTTCATACTGAACCGTGTAT